CGAACTTGGCTCGAGCCAAGTGTGTATACATGGCCATTTTTGCTGGCTCGAGCCAAAGGTCTCTGATAAGATAGTGTTGTGTGAACGTAGCAATGGTCTATGCTTTTAGACAATGTTTCATGTTTATCATCATGATCTTATTATCACCAATTTTGAATTGGCAATTCCTATTTTTTGTATAGCATTACTCTAAACATGATGGTCCAGATGTTTACTGTAGTATTAGTCTTTGTTATTATTTTGAATAGTCAGTAGTAAATTTGTCTTGCAGGGTTGACAAAAAAACCAAATACATCACAGACTCTGCTAATTTAAACAATTAAAATTTATAATGATAATGAAAAACAGTAACACTGGTCACAGTCCCTCTATCCCTAAATTCGGGCTAAATTCATTAAAAATTTTAGAGACAACAACACCTTGAAATTTGACTTTCCCTCGACAACTTTCAGATCGTTGTCTTGAATTTCATTTTTTTTTTATTATGTTTAATTTCATTAGTAGACTGCCTATTATGAGTGTATTTTAGACATTTATTCTTGTCATATTAGATTATATTAGTCATTTTTGATTAGCTAGTGCCATTTGTATGTAGTTTGTTCTGTATTACTTTCCTTATCCTGGATTTTCATATTCTTTGTTAGGTATAACCAATTTAATTTAATTCCTACCAAGGATTTTTACATCCTTCAATAAACCTAGGCTCTGAAGAAACCTTTATGATTAGCCTCACTTTCATTTTATATCATGTATTTGGTCTTATTTTTTTGTTGTCTTATTACCAGGGTTAGTACAGTACCTAAAATACTAACTATTGTCAATCAGTCTGAAGCTATTGTTTTAGCATGATTGACAGCTAACATGATTCCTTGGTGACAAATATAAACTGTGTTGTCCATTCTTTTTAGACAACCAAATAGTCCAGGGCACACACTTCCTGTCTGATAAGTCTGATTGACAGGTCTTCTGAAAGCGAGGCGTTGTCATGGAAGCTAATCCTTTATTTATTTTTTAATCACTTCAGATCTCTGTGATTGGTGACGAGCTGTCTACAATAGCTAAAGAGATAGCAGAATTTTCATCTCGGTTCACTCACGTTATCACTGCCGGTGGTATTGGACCTACTCACGACGATATAACATTTGCAGGTAAGGCACATCTTAATAACATTAGCTCATCATCAGATTTGATATATCCCTGTTTCCTATTTTATTATTTATTATTCACTATTACTTTCACAATGTCATTATTGATTTGCAAAATGTAATACTGTTTTTAGCTCCATGGTTATAACATGAATGATGAATTACCAATGGTTGTGTTGAGGCTGTCTGCATCCATGATGCTGTTTAATGGATTTTGGTTAAAAACCGTTTAAAGGGTACTTTGCTCTTAGAAGCCATATTTGGATAACATTTATTTGCCAAGTACAATGAGTCCATGGTTATAGTTGTATAGTTATTTATCAAACCCTGGAGTTTTTGGCTCCATGCTCGTTACGTAGTTTGTAGTTCCATGCTTCAACATTTTAGAGATCTTGATCAAATCGACCTAGTATTGACCTACCTTGATCGACCTAGTCGTTCAAACTTGAACAGATTAGCAAGAAATAAAAAGGGTCAGCAAAAACAAAAAAATATTTAATCTTCCTAATATCTGCTGTTCATCCTGGGGTTTTAGGTCCATGATTGTAATAAGCATTTTAGGTAATCACTTCAGATTAGCATTTGGTGACTATCTTCCATGATTTTTCCCAATTCTTGTTACTTAAGAGTGCTGAAGCAAAATGAACTGTACATACCCTGGTAGTTATATATGAACATATGAGCAATTTAAATATGTTCAAACCATTTATATAACATGTTCTATCAGAAAAAACAGTTCCACTAAAGGTTAACTCTGCTGTCACTCTGGGTTATTCAAATTCTATTTTTTCCCCCTCACATAATTATCATTTGCAATACCTAATATAAGTAGAATCCCTCAGGCCTTCTACAGTACACAACAATGCTAAACAAAGAAAGACTACAGCACTGATGTTATGCCTGTAAAACATTGACCTTTTTATCTTATCAATATCAGTTGATGTGGCAAACTAAATCTTCTGTCTCATTGTGATGTTAGTTTAATAGTATATGTATGTATGTATATATATATATCGATACTCCCATGTTGCATCTCACTTATGTGAAAAATAGAAAGATTAGCTTCCTGCTCAGAAAGATGTTTATGTACATTATTCAACAGAAAATTGTCCACATAGTACAGATTTAACATTACAATTTGTGTTCACATCTGCTTACTGATTATATACTGTAAAATGACTAATTTTCATTGGGTTTAAATTTCATTTCAGGCATATTCAGTGGGTTTCAAATTCACAGTTTTATCATTTAGATAATGTGTTCTATGCTCAATTTTACATATTCACTGGGTTTTAATTTAGCGCATTTTCCAGTAAGCGAAATAAAAGACTTTTTGGATGTTTTTATATGAAATTTATTTTCACTGGTTTTATACAAGTTGAGTGTAATGTAAGAAAAAAGGTGTATTCGCTGGATTTTATTTTCGCTGAATCATTCCTTCCAAGCGAAAATAAAGTATTTTACAGTAAGTGAGATAAATAAAAGTAATTACTGGTGACTATTAACTCAATGGTCTAGGCATTAGTAATGAAAAGGTTTGTTATAAATGGTAGACTATAGAAATGTTTTTAGCTAGATGCTGTTGACTGTGTCCAGTCATGGAGGTAGAAAAGAGAAGGAGTGAGGACGCTATTGTTTCCGCTTGTTTCATGATGCTTTGGATTTATTTACTCAGTACACATTGTAATTATTGGCAAACACGCTGTCAAGTGTCACTGTTAATCGGCTTACGTGTTTCGGCTGTATTCGGAAGCTTCACGAAGATTCTCGACGCACTGCGCATGCCCAAACAGATAACAATAATACAAAATGCAGCGAAAGATGTACGCTGAGTGTACTCAATGCCCCAAATCTATTGCAACAAAAAGCGCGATTTTCAACATCTGCACAGTTATGCACACCGATGAAAAATGCCCTGTCAAAACATCTTGTTATAAACTTATCATGTATTTTTAAATTTCACTACGAAAATTTGAGGGATTTTTTCAATCAATGTCCAAAGTTGGACGACTATTTTGATGAAAAATATCAGAAAGGAAGTAATCACACATCGTCCGTATGCTGAATTTCCGGTACCTACAAGTGTGAAATGACCTTTGTGACCCGATAAAGGTCATTGCGCATGCACAATTCTTTTATTTATGGTTTGCGCATTCAATTTTATAGACGATGTTTAAACGGAATTTATTTTTTTCAGTCCTACTCTCGTTTTCTTGTGTAAATAAGCGGCTATCATAAAGTAGATAAAACGACTTCTAAACAAAAACAATAAGTGGCTTAGCCAGAGCGAAGACAAAAAATGTTTATGAGATTAACATGGGATTAAATAGCGTCCTCACTCTTTTTCTTTTCTACCTCCATGGTCCAGTGATCTCATCAATTCAGTGAATCATTGTTAGTGTCAACTATTTACTCTTTCGGCTTTTTGAAAACTACAAGCCTGATTGCTTTGATACTTGGTGTATATGTACTTTGGACAGACCTCACTCGATTTATTCATTTCATGATAATATCTTTAATTCTCTGATGAATATTTTTGTAATTTTTGGTAAAAAGTAGTATTTTTGACTTCTTGTTAAAAACTCAAGTCTAATTGTTTTGATATTATACATATAGGTACAAGTAGACTTCCCTCAGATTTGTTCATTTCTTGATGATATCTTAAATTCTCTAATTTTGATGACTATTTTTGTCATTTTGGGTAAAAAGTGATATTTTCAACTTCACTTCTTGTTAAAAATCGTTAACTAATGATACCTTCCATTGTTCAATTAGAATGTGCATTGCTAACAGTGGAGATATCTCAGTCAAGAGGCTGCTTGTTCTAGAATGCGATGTTTAAAACATTTTCTTGTGTCTACAACTCAGGTGCAGCCAAAGCATTTGAAGAGAGGCTAGAACCACATCCCATACTAGTAGAGCTTTGTAGAAAATATTTTGGTCAAGATGCTGCCCTTGATTCACCTAAGTTGAAGATGGCACATGTAAGCATCAACTTGGGAAATTTCCCTTGCTATGCCAATTCACTGCCAATTAGTGCAATGATCTTAAAACGTACTTGCATTTTGAAAAGAGCCTTGCATGAACTGTTACTCTTGCACAAAACTAATCATGAATCAATGTATCACATGATATACATACTAAGAAAAGGAAACATAATTTATAAATTGCTGTTTCACCAACATTCACACAGTTGAAAACCACCTTGTCACATGATTTTGTCCACAGTAATAAAATGTTGAGACAGATAAGTGACATTTTGGAACCTCTTCACAAAAGTCATCAAACATAAAAAAATAAGATGTTTGTACCACATTGCATGTTATTACAACTGGGATTACTGTAGAACACGTTGAAATAGCTGCATGCAATATTAAGTGTTGACTATCTCATCGTGAGAATATACTTTCTACATCTTGAATTAGCGGAATTACAGATTAGCTAAATTAGTTAAAATAACATGCTAGCTAAAAAGACGCGTTTTACAGTACCGATACTCATCTTCCACATTTCAGCAAGCCAAAAATACTAACCATTTGACTTAGGCAAATAAATATCTAAAAGAATTATTAAAAGATTGTTTTGTTTTTCCAGATACCTGCTTCATCTGAACTTCATTTTGGTATTAATAAAAAGACAGGTGAACAAAGTAAATATCCCATAATATCAGTTCGTAACGTGATTATGTTCCCTGGAATACCAACATTAGTAGAAAGAGGATTTAGCATTGTTAAGGTATGTATGCCATCGGTGTTGGTTGAATACCAATACTAACAGTTCAGTGGAAAGTGTGTACTGTGAACTAAGAGTTTGTGCAATGTTTGATAGTAGGTTGATGGCATGTGTGCCTGCTTCTCTGCTGTTTTTTCAAAAATTATGTGGTAATGTTTTTTTTTTACGCTGTTATTCACAGGGTACTGATTTTTTACATCTGTGACCTTTATATTACCTTTGAAGACATAGCTATCCTTTTCTGCCATAGAGGGTGTACTTTTATCAACTTAAAATGCAAATAAAGGAGATCACTGCACTATGATGTGTAGTTACTAGAAATTTTATGGGCACTGCAGATTTGTTACAGCACTCCAGGTATTTTAGTGCAGTACACTGCGTGTCATACATTTGATAAAACTGCTTAAATTAAACATTTCATTTATGTTTTCCACAAATGCCACAAATATAATTTTATCTGATTTGCATAATATTTCATGAATAGTGCGTTCAATTTAAATTGTTTTTTTTTTTGCAGGACAAAGTTCTTCAAAACTCTGACATGTTCTACATTCGAGAAATTTACACAAAATCTGATGAGGTTTCCATAGCACCGATACTCAATCAGTTCAATGCCAAGTATCAAGATACTATACAACTAGGATCTTATCCCGATTGGTTGAACAAGTGAGTACATTCTCCCTTACTATTTAAGTATAAACAATTGAACACAACTAACTGTGAGACTCATTTAATTTTTGTGGTCATTTATCTGACAGTTTGGATGAATATTTTCATATTTTTTATTTTATTTCATCAACTAAGTTATAAAAATCAACCACATCTGCTGGTGATGTAATATTGTAGTTCTAGATTGTTCTTGCTGAGGTCAAATGAAGTCAACCAAAAAGTTTTCCCCCTATGCATCTATCATACTGTAACCTACATATAATGACTTTAATTGTCAATGAAATAGTATTTTAATAGTGTACCTTTCAACATGGGTTGAAGGACATATGCTTGTAGATTAATGATTACAGTCCGTACTGTCCTGTAGAGTACCGGTAAGTCCATTGTGTGACCTTAATGGATGACCTGCTGACCTATTGTAGCGCTATAAATAGAATTAAGTTAAAATGGCATGGTTTGAAAATATAAACAAGTTTATATTATTTGTCCACTAATGCCAAGCGCTAGAATTTAGAAAGACAACTTATAGTCGTGAACATGAGTCTCTTATAATCAGCCTTTCAGGTTGACTAATACTGTTTTACAAATAAAGTTGAATTTGAAGTGGACATGCAGGAGTTCTCACGTGAGAACACGTTCTATCACAATACAAATAAGACAGTGACCCCCCCCCCCCATTTTTTTTAAAACATAACTCCCAACATTATCTTGAGTTTCAAAACGTGTTTAATTTTTTTCATAATGGCATATGGGTTGCGTATCGTGTTCTTCTGTGTATTATTAAAATAGTAACCTGTTTCAATCTGAACAATTTGGTCTGTTTATCCAATTTTTGTTTTCACATGTCCAAATTTCTTGATGCTTTCGTGTATTGATCAGCCTTGATGGAGACTTAATGTACTTGTCTGTTAAATGCATCATTATTCGCTGTTTTTTTTGTTTTCACCACTAATTAAAATCTTCTAAACTAAATCCACATCAACATGTAAAATAACAATGTTATTCATTGTTTCCCTGACAAGTTAGTAAACTTGAAACAAAGTGAAATTTTTCGAAGCATTTAAATAGCAAAATTAAAACAGTGAAAATAAATGGTTTCACAGTATGTAGATTTCATTTGTCATGCGTCAATGCACGTGGTTTAGCATGATGATATCTCTACTGATTGGATTGTTTAAAGCGTACTTTGACCTTTTGCAAATATTGTGATCATACCATAAATCTAGGCATGGTATGTTCTTTCATCACAGGAGTCGAACAATTGTCTGGTGGTGTAGGTGTAAGTTTGTGTGATTATAATTAATACCTGACATGTAATATTTACTTTCAGAATTCAAACCCGGCGAAAATTGAAATGCTTTTACAAATCCCCAACCTTGTTTAAATGGTTACAATTCAAAAAACTGCTGGTACCTCCACTGTCGTATAACTTGTAAAAGCATACAGCTTGACTCAGTGTTGTGAATGTTTCTTTTGCCATACAGCTATTACAGGGTAAAGCTAACGCTTGAATGTGATTGTAAAGAAACTTTAGACGTCGCGCACGAAGAGCTGCTCAACATGCTTCCCTCAGGTACAGTATAAATATGTGGTTGTTTCAACATGTCGCTCATGCTGTGTTTTTCTAAAGACAAAGTGACTATGTATAGCCGCATTGACCTTCCTTCATTTGTTCTCACAAATGCCATTAAATCGCTCTAGCACTGCAAATTAGACTGTTTACAGTCCTTGAAATGATGACACATCATCAATTTGTATGCAAATGATATGTAAATTATTATCGGATAATTTGAATAAATCATATTTAAATTATTCAAAAATATTCTAATTTCATTTATTTTCATGTTTGTACATGTACTGGAGTGCACTATTATTCTGCATGTAATATTAGATACTGTGTTTGTCAAAACAGTCAGTCAGCCCAAAAACAAACATACCAGGGGTAGATAGCAAGATAAAATGATTTGTTTGCAATTTTTTGCTGACCTTTTGATTATGGTCCAAAATTAACAAAGGGGTAATAAAAAAAAATATCAACAATGTGCATTGGAATTTTGGTGAATGAGGTTGAATAGCTTAGATTGTAAAATCATTAATCATTAATCTGCTAATTTAAATTTAAATCTAAGTGAGTATGTAAAATTACAACAGAAATCTTTCTTTCAATGGGAAATATAGAATCCAGTGAATATGTTTGAATTACAAATATCAAGAAATTAACAACCAGAGAATATAAATACTTCTACAGTAATGGTACAAAAACAAGTAGTGTATCAAGCAATGAATGCTGGGTAATTTGTATGTAATGTGACGTTGCTGTGATTATATAAAGCACCTCTTCTTCACCTGATTCAGTACATTGGGGAGAACTGTTACAAACATTTAGAGGGGGCGAGGTTACCAAGGAAACAAACTGCAGGGGGTTGCAACTCATGGACGTTATCCTATTGTGCCAAATATTGTAATCTGGCCAGGTTGTTTTATACAAGTCCAGTGGAAAAAAAGAGGCCCAACCGTGTCTAGGATATTTTGTTACTTCAGTCGTGTACTGACGCTGGCGGTTGGCGCATGATGGAAACAACAATTTACTGTCATGCAGTAGGTTGAAAAGGTAGATACCAGTAGCAATGACATCACTATAATATATAATTTTTCATTATTTTGTTTAATTATCCTTGACTGCATCCTGCCAACGATTTTATTCATCGTTTTCAGAGCTTGTCGTAAAGTACGAAAAAGATTCAGTGGTCAAAGCAGAAGAACAAGTTTACTCGATCGTAGAATCAGACCGTTTAGATGAATATGTAGAATATTTAAGAAGGTCTGTGAGAACGATGGAAGAAGCTCTTGACAAATATAAATTGGATGAAATTTGTATTGGATTCAATGGTGGGAAGGACTGTACAGCTCTCTTGCATTTGTTTTATGCTGTAGTTAAAAGGTAGAATGTTTTTGTGATTTTAACTCATTTTATTGATAGATAGTACATGTTGGATTGCGTTGCAAGCATATTGACAATTGTATTAATAAATTTAGAAACTAAATTTAAATATCCGGTAGTAATTACAATTGATGTACAGACGACGAGTAGAGACAAGTCCCTCAGTCGTTTCCCAGTAAGCTATTATTACATTTTTATTGATTTATAATGTTCGATGAGTTAATGTTGTGAGAACATACTGGTAACTGCCATATGGTAATAGATTTTATTACTGACAAATCATATAAATGCTCTTAATGTAATGTGAAATAATTCTAGATTCTTATGTGGTGTTCCCACATCCTCCATTGACCACTATTTCAAGGAGATAACCCCACTGTTAACAAGTCTTTAGAGTTCAGCAATGTAATTAGATATTTACATTACACACAAATACCATATTTTCTTTATTAGAAGCACATCTTCAATAGAATCACATCTAAGCAAAACAGCGTGTCCATTGTGAAATGCATCATTGAAATGATATGTGACCTATTTTGCGATAGACAAACATCTGTCATTTATGTAAACTCATAAGCTTACTAATAGAGCAAATACAGTAGGATGTTTACAATCTTCTTGTTGTACAGAATCATCTGATGGTACAGTTGTGTAATAAAGATTGTCAACTATCTAGACACATTTTATGACAATGTATATTATGCAAATTATTGCACTTTTTTTTTTTGTAGAAAATACCCCAAGTATGATGACCATTTACAGGCTTTATATATCAAAAATCACTCTACTTTCCCAGAAGCAGAAACATTTTTTAATGACTGCACCAAAAGGTAAAGCTACTAATCAATCTATACTCATCCAAATAACACATTGTTTGAAGTCATTCCTCTCTTTGCATGTGTCAGTTCACAATATCTGACCACAAGAGGGCAGTGTTCATGGTAAATCAAGTAGAAATGCAGCAGCAACTTGAATTCATGCAAGATTCATCTATTTGGTTCAGAGAATACCGGTAATTACACTTTAATGCCATAAGTTACAGCAGGCGTAATGTTGTGGTATTCATCCTACCATAGTAGAAAATGTGAATTCCAAATATGGAATGATTACGCACGTAAGCGTCCTATAATAATAAATACAAACATGGGTGCCACCAGGGTTTGACCAGACTCCACACAAAGAATTTTGCTGATTCTGTTCTAAACTTTTTTGGTTTCAGCATACCAATGATGCAGCGGTATCCTTGGAAGGAAAAGATGTATAATAATAAGGTTATTACAAAGATACTTCAAAAGCACTCAGACAGTACACTGTTGCATCTCCACTGTACTGTCTTCGTACATATTTTGAGGTATCCTCATAATAACCTCATATTATAAAGTACCTTGTCAAAATTCATAGTTCTGTGAAATAGGAATGTTTTGGCTGTAGGTTTTGAAAGCATTTTAATGATCCAAAAAATGATAAAAAAACATTCCTGATTGAATAAATATTAAATAAAATAAACTTTTAATGTAATTTTGTTGTTTTCCACTCCTCAGATACAACTTGAAATCTTATACAATACAGAGTAGTATGAAAGTTGCCTTGCTGCAGTTAAAAGAACAAGCCCCACATGTAAAAGCAATATTAATGGGAACAAGAAAATCTGACCCATACTCAGGTAAGTTTATTTTAGGTTTGTTATGCTGCCCTCTATAGTCCATTTTCTGAGCGATGCAAAGAATATCCATAGTCAAAGATGTGGTGTTTCGCATATGTGCAAATACTGGGTATGTGGTGTATCGTAAACCTGTACCGTAAACTTGTACATGTGAAATTCTGCAACGCATCTAGCTGCTGTCTGTAACAAGTCACTCTCTCGAATAATTTAAAATGATACCTAGCTCTGAATGTAGCGCTTAATTCACCAGAAAGTTTGAAATAAAAATAATACTCATTGTTATTTTGCTAATTTGTTGGTTTAAGGGCCATTTTTTATTCTTGCCAACATTTTAATGCATAATCTTACAAATTTATTTTTCAACAGTTACTATAGGTAACCAGTAAATGGTTGATTTTGCTCTGACCGTAATTTTTACTGGCTACAACAGGACTTGATCAAAACTAGAAAAGAACTATAAAAAAATTATGCCAGTTTTTAGCTCCGCTGTGGACTTTGTCGAGCGGAGCTTATCATATGAGTGATTGTCCGTCGTCGTTCGTGTCAATGTTTTACTTTTTCGACTTCTTCTTGAAAACTACAAGCCTGAATGCTTTGATACTTAGTGTATATGTACCAGATTTGTTCATTTCATGATGATATCTTCAATTTTCTAATTTTGGTGAATATTTTTGTCATTTTT